AGATTATCAACTTCTCACAGGTAAGATGCATTAACTGTAGCTTTCCCATTTCACATTTTTATTAAGTTAAAGGGTTTAAAATGTCTCTATATAAGCCCTGGACACGATTAACGGCCCGAACAAACACATTAATGTTCACTTTTCCAAAGTTCCCTCACCTGAAAGCACTAAGGTATATGCAGTTCTGGAATTTACTGAATTCATACATTTTAACATAACACCTGTCCATTTTGTTATGTAGCATTCTTGATTGTAATCATATTTAATTATTGGTCTGTGCTCAGAGCAAATTTTCTCTGACAGATCTTTTTCTCAATGGAGAAAACAGAGGAATGGGTGTTGAAGACATCCAGGTCAAGTTGTATAAATGTGGCACTGTAGTAGCTTTATACCCAAAGGTTTTGAGTTCAAATCCCTAGTGTGGAATTTAATAAATCTGGTGAGCTGTGGACCAACCTTGAAACAAAATCTAACTGGTTCACTAATGTCCTTCAGGGAACAGAGCCTAACATCTCTAGTTGGTCTTGGGTGCACATGATACTAGTTCAGCATTCCATAGTTAACTCATTACTACCGTTATCAATAACAGGCTGCTTAAAGCAATTATAACTAGGCAATAAATATATAGTTTTTACCAATGTCAAACAGGACAATAAAAAATAATTCACCAGTAAATAGAGTACTGTAACAGCCCAAAGTTCATTTAGAGAAAGTGAATGAAATTTTCATTTATCAGCCTGTAAAAGGTCTATTTTTTTTAAGATTTAAATTAAGGGGTCAACTTTAGATGGCAATGCTTTAGAGGGGCTTAATGCTAATGCTCACAACCAGATGGCTGCTGTACACCTCTTGGGATTGATTGGTGCAGTTTGTTACAATCTTACATCCACATTTCAACACAAAATTAAAACATTATTGAAGCTCCCCCAGTAGCTCAGTGGGAAAACTGTACTCTTGATTTAGCATCAATGGAGAAAATTAAGAAACCTCTTGCTTCACATCCTAGTCTCTACGGAGTTTCTCTGAACACAGAGTGTGCCAATGAGCTCAGTCAGAATGGACTGTTCTTGGAAAGTTGGGATCGACTTTTACAGGAGATCAACTTCTACGTCAGTATATGTGGTAACCACTTTACCCAGTAGGCAGTAAATATGTAGGACAGACTGTGGGAAGAATGTTGAGTTGGATATAGACAACAAATTAAAGATGAACTAGATAGATATTTGGCAGAGAAAGGGTTTGATGTGTCTCAGAGATAGTGTACGTGGCAGGTTTTTGAAACTTTGGGAGTTACCAGACGGATAACACAGAGCCTTTTACATTCCTGTGATCCTATTTCATTTAAACCACAATTGCAAGATTAAGATGCTGGAAATTAGCAGGAAAGGGATTTGGAAAAATGCTGTCTGTAGAGATGGGAGTGCCATAGTCTCAAAACTTCTAAATGGATTCAAGGGCCAGCTCTAGGGAAAAATAAAATGTTGCAATGGGGGTGGAGTGAAAAGAGAGAGAGGAGACAGAGGCACATGAATGGCTCAAAAAAGAGGAGGACTTGGTCAACATAGTTCTCAAACGTACCAACAACATGTCACGCCTTGTATTCTTCAAAAAATGTTGACCAATAACTAATTAGGAAAACCTTATAAAAGCAATTCCATTGCAGCAATTTAGGCCTGTACCTACTCTAGTAAATGATTGGATGCCACTAACCACTAGGACACCCAAAACATTCCACAGTAGCCTTGGTCATTAGTCATAAGTCAGAACACTAAACTAACATGGTTGTAGAATTTGCAGCATTACACTGCTCACAGACATATTCTTTCAAGGGTTGTGAGCACAGCAAGGAAGGGATTTGCTGCTCACCTCTAATTATCCTCAAGGAAGTGATGGTGAGCAACCTCATGGAACTGTTGCAGTCCAGCTGATGCAAGGTTTCTTGATCCAACTACAGCAAGAGAATACCAACACCTTTCGAAGTCATGATGGTGCCTGGCTTGGAAGGGAGATTGCGGGTGGTAATTTTACTGAGTGTCTGCTCCCCTTGTCTGTCTAAGTGGTCGAAAATTTCTGAGGAAGGGTCACTCGACTCGAAACGTTAACTGTGATTTCTCTCCACAGATGCTCCCAGACCTGCTGAGCTTTTCTAGCAATTTCTGTTTTTGTTTGTGGTAGGAAATTCCTTACATTTGCGAATACAAGTGCTTCAGGATTCTTGTATTCCTGTAAAACAGAAGTTTGTGTGAATGATCGTGACCTGATCACAAAAGACACTAGATAAGAGACTGTATACATAATTAAAGAAGATATACAGGTATTTGGAGTGGGGAGGGCTAGCTGAACTGGTCTTTCAAAGAGCCATAATGGGATAAATGGACCAAACAGCCATCTTCTGAGCTGTAAGAATTTATTAAGGAAAAGCCAAAAAGACTAATCACGGTCTCCTATAACCCTAACAGGTTTACCTGCAAGTTTATTCCATGTGCCGATGTTTCCGGCATCAATCCTGTAATTGTATTCTTGGAAATATCCTTGCAATTCAAAGTGCACCGTAAACTCCTCAGCTCTTATTCCTCTCCAAACCCCACCCCCCAATTTTATTTTTTTCTGTCAAATATCCACCCAATTTCCAATTGAATGGCTGCTGCCCACCTCTGCTGCTTCTCTACACTCACCACCCTGTATTTTAAGTCTTTTCTTCATTCTTCCAGGATTCAGTTTAGATTTAAATCTTTAAATCTTAAACGTGATGTACAAGAATAAGAGTTGTCTTTTCTTCAGCAATAACCAAATACATTTTCCCTCCTCACAGCTGAATGGAGAGCAGAGCTGGTGCTCTGCATGGGAAGGGAAAATGTGGAAATGGAAGCTCTCGGCTGTTGGCAAGTGAATTTTAAAAAAATACACAAAGTACACTCCCACCCACACTCCCCTCCATTCACCATTCCTCAAGACTTTCCATCTCCTTTAAGCCAACTCTAACACTTATCCAAGACTATGGGCATCAGGAATTTTTATTTTAGCTGGGAGTGATCCACCTTTGAGCGCTGTGGCTTTGGGGCAAAGCCTAAATTTCTGAAGTTGCAGCTGCCAAGGTGACGCCTCCCGCAAAGGAAATTTCTGACAATAAGCAGCACCTTATCACCAAATATCATTTGCATGTTTTTAGGCACCCTTTCTCCAGTCTTGGGAGCCCTTCTAGCTCCATTCCCCATGCTTTGACCAGCCAGTGGTTAAATATATTGCTCATTAGCCCATTATCATCCACGTCCTGGTTTAATCCCAGATCAGCTGGTCAGCTACACAAGACTTCAGTGTCTCGAACGGAGTGGTAAAATGACCTTAAGACATAGGAACAGAAAGTTAGCCATTTGGCCCATCAAGTATGGCCCACCATTCAATGATCTCTCAGCTGATCTGATATTTCTCCACTTTCTTGCCTTTTCCCCAATTCCCTTTCTGGTTAAAAATCTCAGACTTAAAATATACTTAATGACCCGGCTTCAAAAGCCCCAAAAAATTTCACAGATTCACCACCTCAGAGAAGAAATTCATCCTTGTCTCTATCTTAATTGGGTGATTCCTTAAACTGAGATTAGGCCCTCTGGTCTTACGCTCTCCTATACAGAGGAACAACGTTTAGCACCTACCTTGTCAACTCCCCCTGGAATCTTGCATGTTTCAATGTTCTAAACTCCAACAAGTACAAGCCCAACCTACTCAACCTCACCTCATAAGAAAATCTCTTCAAATCCAGAAGCAATCTAGCAACCATTCTCTGGACCGTCTCCAATGCCTTCCCTTAGATGAGGGGAACAAAACCGTTCACAGTATTTCAGGTGTGTTCTGAGTCGTGCCTCATATGGTTTTAGCAAGACCTCCCTATTTTTATACTCCATTCCCTTCGAAATAAAGGTCAAAATTCCATATGCCTTTATTACACACTTCACTCTGGACACAAGCTTTTTTCTGATTCATTTGAGGACCCCCGAAGCCCTATGTGCTGCAGCTTTGTGCAGTCTTTCCTCATTTAAATAATATTTAACTCTTCTATTTTTCTTGCGAAAAAATGCATCACCTTGCATTTTTTCACATTATATTCCATCTGCCAAGTTTTTTCCCACTCGCTTAACCAAACTCGGACTTCCTGATCTCCAGAGATGTCTGCAACAGAATGCTAGCATCTGCAAGTTTGGCAATGCCAGGATCAGGCACAGGGTTTACTGGCAGTCCCTGCCTCATGATATAGACTTGCTGGAGATATCTAATTGTCATCTAGCCAAGTGTCAAAGGCTATCCCTTTTAATGGGCATTTAGTCAACATTCGTCAGCAGTGGCAGTGTAGTGATGATATTATTGTTCTGCAAGAAACTAACAATTCACTAAATTTAAATTCACAAGTGTAAATTAATTTAAAAAAGCTGGTTTCTGCAAAAGTGACTGATGGATAAACTCAACTGGTACTTCTAACTTTTGGAGAAAGAAACATGTCATTCCTACCGTGATTGTGACTCCAGCCTGATGGCAAGAAGGTTGACTCTTTCTGCTCTCTGCAGTGTCCTAGGAAGTTACTTACTTGTATGAAACCTGTACTCAAATAGGTCAAGAAGATAGTCCATCACCAACTTCAAATGACAACTTAAAATAAGCAACAAATTTTAGGCATTCCAGCTACATGAATAATTAGTATTTTATCAAACGTTGTTACATTCAGAAACACAAAATGAACTAGCATTTATAGGACCAGTGCTGTAGGAGAATTCCTAAGGTTTGCAGGGGAAGGCTCTGAGCCTACCCTTGGGAGCACCTAATAAATCTTCCAACTATTTCTGTGTTCTTGAGACAGAGATGGAGTCAGTAGCGTTCCTCTGTACGCTGTTGCTATGCCACCCAGAACACAACACAGGAGAACTGTGTAAACATATGGGTAAGGCAGCCGTAACAGAGACATCCAAAAATTTCAACACAGCCTCTGTAATGTGGTTTGTAGATTTATTTCAGTATTTATTGTACAAAGCAAACACGACACAGGCAGCGTGTACAATTCCATACAGCAAATCAGTAATATAGTACAGAAAGCAAGAGATTTAATAATGCCTGCTCCCCATTACAAACCATTTTCATAAACATAGAGAGTCTGTAGACAATTACCTGAAACCACTTGAAATTCAACTCCCTCTGTCGTTATAATCAACGGTTGATCTTAAAGACCACACAAACAAAAAAAAATTACATATATAATTCCATTTGAAAATCAATGCTGTAATTTGCAGAATGACGGTGTCTGGCAGGAATTTGGTTTCATTCATTGGTCTGGCAGTACACTTCTCAAGAGCATCAAATATAAGTAATGTCAGGGGTGCCCAAACTTTCATTTTTGTGGACTGCATACCATGGACTCCTTTAGGCCACACAATAAGAATTAGAAAACAAAACGGTGAATCGAACAGACATGCATAAAACATTCTCCCATCAGCTAAGACTCAGGAAAAAAAAATTAAAACACATTATTTTGTGATCAACAAATAAAAATGTTTGTCTATGTACAAGATAAGTTAGGTTTATGTTCTCGTAGGCTGTCTGACTTTGGACCGCTGCCCCAATTGCAAGAGGGCAAGTGGCAATGGCATAAGATAGCCAAAGTCTATGCATAAGAACTTGTGGCCAAGGCAACCTAGCATTATTGACTAGGCACTCTCAGCCAGACAGCATGCACCACTGATGAGAGACCAATGCTTAGATAAGCAGGCCATGATCAAAATGCATGGCCAGATAACCAGGATCCATACAGCAGAGAATCATGGCCAGAAAATCAAAGACCATGGAGTAGCAAATCAAGGCCAGAAAACCAGTGACTATGAAGCAGTGTTGAAGCCAGTGATCTAGGAATCAACAGTTTATGGTTTATGCCATGGTTGTGATCAAACTGATTATAATTTTTAATTTGGAAATTACAGTAATGATATTCACAAGAACAAACTTAAAACATGAACTGTGAAGGAACCTGTGTAGGTGTTACGTTAACTCCAATATTTGGCTTCAATTCAGTCCAGTCCAATTTCTCTTCTCTAGTCGTGTTTGAAGAGAAAGAAGATCGGACAGTTTTTAACAGTTTCCTAGTGGCTGTAAATCTACAATATGTTACCTACATTCAACACTAAATTGGCAATCTCACTAAGGCCACTGGGTGTGCAAATTCTGAAATGTCACAGTTGATGGAAGAAGAAAGGTTTCTTCCAAAATTAGGAATAAGGCACGTTATTGGGCAGTGGAGGAAGTTTTACATTTATGTGTGGGAAGGTCCACAGGCTGATGTTAAGTGTAAAATATCTACATCTTATACTGAGCAACCATGTTAAGACTTAAAAGCAAAAATACAAAAAGTGAATCACTATACGAATTCAACAGGATCGAGAAAAGCTTCCCACACCTCTTCCTGTTGCAGTTGAAGGTGTCACTATAAAGGAGCCTAGATGAAAACCAGACATGATTAATCTCTAATGCTCAAATTACAGCTCATCAGGAATGAGACAAGGGGCACCATCTCTCGTGAAGGTAGTTGTTCTGAAAGAACATTATAAACCCCATATATAGCCGGAAAAAGAACAAGCCTGAAACTATACTTTTAGGATAAGCTGAGCTGCAGGAGAAGACAACACAGAATCTCTGTTGTGAACTAAAAGGTTAAGACTGACAAAGATTTTTATTTTTACAATATCAAAAATTGTAAAGGGTTGTCTGAAAAGTTATTAAGGCCAAGACACAGCATCCTTGATATGCAGCCAAATTCTTCAATGCAAAGATGATGGGATAGTTTCTAGGAAGGCTGAGATCTATTGGGAAAATAAGGTGTTATTTCTTGAGGATAAAGTGCTATAGAAGACTCATTGTTTTTGACAGCAAGATGCATGTACATCAGTGGCACTATCAGTAACAAGGACAAAACAGTAGCAGTGAAATATTGTAGTTCAGAACCTACTAGAATCCAGTAACAAGCTTAGGAACAATTTACCAGTAGCAATTTGCTAACGCACTTTGTAGAGTTGAAAAGCAAAATGTCCAGGTAAGTATTTTGACATTCCAGAAAAAAAAAAGCAATAACTACAGGCTTTGCCAAGATCACATCAACATCTAGTTTATCAGCAATAGTTGTGAATTCAGTGCCAATCGTGCCAAACAGTGCTAAAAGCTCAAGCTTTCAAGACTTCCATTATTTTTAAGTGATAATCTGCAGTCTTTCTCACTGCACCTCCTTCTCCTTTCCTTGTGTAGGGGTGGAGCAAGAATAGCAATTGTCTCTTACTGAGTCTACCTACTCAAATTCATCCATCCATGAAAGCAGACTCAACACATTGAGTGTTGCTTATCCATGTGCTACAATGTCAATTATCCTATGTCTCTATAAACATTATTCCATCTCCCAGTTTGGAAGGAGTGGTGATGGAAATAAGGGACTGTTAATCCTACTTCAATACCCATCACAGAGCAAAAATATTAAGTGCCGTACACTCAAATAACTGTAAACAATGCCAAAGTTATATCTTAAAAGTAAGCAATTCTACTGAACATTTCCAGCATGTCCTAGTATATTATGATTCACAACAAGCAGTCAATTAATGTGACATTTTAAAGTTACATGTGCGATCCTGCCAAATAGACCATGCCAATGAACATAACTCCACAGCACAGAAAGTGCTCCATTTATATCTTGAAGTTTATTAAAGTGCACCATTCCTCCTACTTTTTCATTTATGTCTCCAAAGGAAAGCTGCATCCACTCACAGCGGTAACGACATGCCCATGCACCGTCATCAAAATCATCACAATCATTAAAAGGAGAATATGTTAACTAGCATTACATATTGGATATGCACGTTATGATTACAACTTCATCCATAAATCAAGAATTTAACTTAATAAGCCTTGCAACATCCTAATGTATACATTTGCAGCTAACCATAAGTACAAACAGGCAGCAAATTAACATTATAAAGAGATATGTCAAATATAGAGGAAACTCCCAAGACCATTTGATTTAAAATTCCAGATTGTCTTGAAGAGACTGCTGCTGATGCAGTATTGATATTTTAGCCCTAGGTATCACTAGCATGCTAAGTATATATTGCAGTGTGTATTTAGCATATTAGTACCAATATAGTACATTCTGGAAGCAATGCATTTAAATTTTGTTTTTTAATATCTCGTGTGATAGATTTAATTCTTCATAGTGTTTACTTCACCACGCAGTCACCAGTGGCAGAGGTAGAGCTATAATCATCATCACTTTACCTTTGTGGTATACACATCAAAACTTTCTTCAGGTGCCACAAATATATCAAAAGGGCACGGTCGATAACAGTATTTTATGTTCGCTTCCCACCCCTCCTACAGTTCAAGCGTATACATGAAAATGTCACCCACAGACCAAATCCTAGTAGAACACAGAATAGAGATATCTAGGGAGGGATAAGCATGATTATTGCATTGAAGCAAAAAGTCCAATAAACCATTGAGAGTAGAGCTGCAAGTCTGTTTGCCTTGTTTGACCTTTTTTTGAGGGGATATGCACTACACAAAGCATCCCCAAAATGCAACTGATAGGATGGCTAACAAATGGAATTCACCATATATTAATGTTGCCATTCGTTTGCACTAATTGTATTTGTAGCAACTGACTGAAACAAGATTCTTTACTGATGCAGTCAGATTTTAAGCCTGATTACTACCCTCACTCCCTATTATACTTGACCCGAGCCTTTGCAATCCCAAATCCCATCACTCACTCTATGGCCTAAGTTACAAATTTCTGTTCTCTTTCCTCCCCAAACATTGTCTTGTTGCAAAGCAATAATTATGACTTAATCAAACTGTTCATCCAAGGCACAAAATGCAAGGAAGGACCACAAATGCAGGAAATCTTAAAGTAAAAGCAGCTCTCTCAGAATCTCAAGTGAGAAACATTTTGGGTGGTGTCTCACCAGAAAAACTCTCAAACTGCTCGACCAGCTGCATATTATTGGCACTTTGTTGTTGATCTCTAGTGGATACAATTCACCAGGAATAACCTGAGGAAGAAGCAATAATGTGTCATGGATTAGCGAAATTTGTCCAAGCTTTAAACTTTAACAGGACAAGTATTGGCACATTTACAGTTTTGCATGACTCTCCTCTACACGGTGAAGCGGTATGGTACCCCTTGTAAATTTATAAGCAACCAGAAAGGCATACTCAATATGGGGAGAATCTTGACTCAAGGGTATATCTATCTATATTCCCTTAGAAAGAAAAAACATTATTGTATCATTAAGTCTCATTCATTGCTTTTAAAGATGATGCTTTTTAATAGATTGCAAATCTATAGTATTTTTCAAGCCTTCCTGCCATTACCTAAACTTTATAGTGTTCTAAAACAATTGAATATTAATGGTAAGATGGTTGTCATGGAAATGGTGTCTGATTGACAAGAGCACATTCTTAGCTCCTCTACGTATGTTGACATGTTGGTGATGAAGCCGACCAGCAGACTGGCCACAGATTGTTGTAACAATTTATAAGAAGTTTGTCAACAGTCCCAAGACAAGTACACACAAACAGGTCTTTCCTTTCAAACTTTAAGGAGTGAGAGAACCCAATTCATTGCTATCTGACCCATTGTTGTTCCAGCTCATTGAAGCATCCCATCTAAATGCTGACGGTCTGTTGAAGAGCGAGCCATGTTGAACATGACTGAGCATTGCAATATTTGGTCAGCTCAAGTCCTACAGGAGTTTCCGCATTCGCCGGTGACTCATGTTTATCCGGGACGTTGCCTGGTCCGTGGAGGAACTGATGACATCCAACACTTCATCCTGGCGTTCTAGCTCAGCCTCAGTATCCAGCGCGATCGTCTTCAACTTCCGTAAGATCTAAAATGAAAGAGTAGGCAAGTGAGTTGTTCCTGGTATACACCAATTCTGGGAGGTTCAAGTTGTGTACAGCATCACCTGGCATGAATTGCTCCCTTTCATTTCCTTCATACCCCACAGGAACTGGCAGCTAGGTCAATGTAACAAACCAACTTGAGGACTTCATGGGACTGCTGCTGAGTTGGGGCAAAGCATTCAGGCGGTCCCAATTTACAAATGTCGAACTCAGGAATGCTTGTACTTACAAGCAAGATCCTATATTAATATTAATTCCGAGGATCCAACATGAAAACATTTGCACATACTTACTAAAGGCTATTTTACATTGGACTGTATTGTGTTCCAACTTGGGTACACATCAACTTACATACATATTTAAGTACAGAACTTGTTCATAACCCAGGTAGGAGGCAGACAGGTTTAGGTAAGGAATTCCAGAGTGTACAACTTGGTTGAGTGAAAAAGGGAGAAAATACTCCAGAATCAGAAATTTAGTTAGCATAATCTGGACATTAGCCTGCAGCAAGTTCCAGTTGAACTGTTTTGTACCGAACAATTGAGAAATTTTTCAATGTATGCCACGCTTGTACAGGAGCTCAGTGAGACTCAAAGGTTGCATAATTCCAGATAATTAATTAACTACTACTTGTTAACTACACCGCAAAATGATAAGTATTTCAAAGCTGCAATGTTCAGAAACAGTCTTCATTTATTTTATGTGAAATCCATAGCAAAGCACTCCACAAAAGCTAACCAACCAAAAATGGACTCCAAGGCAACAAACTAGATGATTAGAGGTTGGTTAGAAGAAAAGTGAAAGAGATGGTTTTCAAAAATAGAGTTATGTTGTGATAAATGTGTGTTTACATGGGCCTCCTTGGATGAGGTCCTGAAGAATTACCAGCATCCATAGTGCTGAATTTGGTTTATAGTTACCTTTACCCACTGTGTAGGGGTCACAAATTTAGGACTGAGTTGAGAAGGAACTTCTTCACCCAAAGGGTTGCGAATCTATGGAATTCCCTGCATAGTAAAGGAGTTGAGGCTACCTTGCTGAATGTTTTTAAGGCAAAGATAGATTTTTGAACAGTAAAGGAATTAAGGGTTACAGTGAGCAGGCAAGCAAGCGAAGCTGAGTCCACAAAAAGATCAACCATAATCGTATTAAATGGCAGAGCGGGCTCGATGGGCCAGATGGCCTACTGCTGCTCCTGTTTCTTACGCTCTTATCAAAGAGATATAATCATTCTTTAAGGTGATAAGGTTTATTTAACTGTCATGGACCTGTTCGTCTTTCAAGTCACCACATTACCTTTTAAAAAGTACTTGGATGAACACTTGAAGTGTCATAGCATTGAAGGCTATGGACCTAATGCAGGAAAGTGGGAGTAGTGTAGGTAGCAGTGTATTTTAAGTCTTACAACTCGATGGGCTGAAGGGCTTCTTCTGTACTGTATGATTCTAAGATTCAAATGGGACTTGAACCCAGGCCTCCTAGATATCACTGTGTCACCCTCTGTTTAGGCATTTTCTAATCAACCTGTTTAGAGATGTTATCACACACCTCTGGAACAGGTGGAACATGAACCCATGCCTCCTAGCCCAGAGGTAAGGATACTACCACCGCACCACAAGGGCCCCCTCACCCAGACATTTTCTTTTAATATAGCTGGAAGTGTTATCACACACAACTGAATGATTTTACCACCACCAAATCCCCATGAGTTAATTTTTTTAAGCTATTAATCTCCAGTAATCACCCGTGCAGCCAATTAGAAGTTTTCACAGAATTCCCATTATCAGCAATGTCCATGATGGGTCATCAGAAGTCGGAGGGGGTGGTGCATGATAGCAGGAGGTGGAGGAAGGGACTAAATCAAAATGGACTCACCCATTCTTTACACTTTTACCAAAAACCGGATACAGCTGTCAGTGATGGTTAAAACAAAAATCTTTAGAATTTTTATGGAGTGGGTTGGGATGACTACATAGCTACTGGCCAATCTGACTGGCACCAGCAGCTGTATCACACCTGGCAATGCCAGACAGAATCCTGCTGAGAGTTCAGAAAGAAGCCCAACGAGGATCATGACTCTTTGGAGAATTGTGGCTTCAGACCAGGAAGAATCCTGCAGCCCAGGGCAGGAGAGAGAAGGCTGGGGGCTAGGTTCTGTCGGATAAGCGGCACTGAAGGAAAGGGTAGGTTCACATCTTGGGAAAGGGAGGTTGGTGCATTCCTGAATCATAGCCTTTATCTTCCTGCTTTTTTCTCCCCCCCCCACATCAGCTATCCTGCACTGCTCACGCCAACTACATTTTGGTGCTGGAATCATATTATTCAGGTCAATGACCTTGTTAACAGGCCAAAATGAACATAATCTAAGCACGTCTGGCAGAGATCAAAATAATATTTTTCTCCAGGGCTCCTCTTTACTTTCCTAACGGCTATCTTTTAGCTTTCAGACGATGCTTTTCTATACTCGTTAACTCATTTATTAAGTGATGCAGTGATAACAATATCGCAAGTATGTGTGTTGACAAAGGGCTGCTGGGACTCTCACAGAAACAGAGTTAATATAATTCATCAATATTCTCAACAATCAGCGATTTTCCTTTAAACTTAATTCTCTGGACACCACTATAGCCATAATTTAATAAAAGTTTCCTCCCCTCCAAAATAACTGACATTTCTACACACAAAATTCCAGCAACTAAACACAATTTCCACAGACTGGCAAGGTAAGAGCTCATCACCAGCTTTACCATATGCTCAAAGGTGGAACTTAATCTTAATGTGATTGCTACATCTATTGTATCTTGGATCTTAATCTCACATTTAAATTTAACAAGTGACACAATGTTCAATATAGTAATATCTGCTACATTTTTTCTAAACATAGCAGTTTCTGAACCGATGCAAATTCAAACTACAGATTCCACACTAATTTCCAAGGAATTCACTATCTCAATGATTTAACCGTTTTTTGGATCCCACTTATCTGAGTATTCAATTGTTGACAAGTCTAAAACCGTTCTTTCTTTTGTAGCCTCTCTTTGCCCCATCCTTCCAATGTGCCTCTCCCTACGACTTCTCACTTGCAGGCTCCTTCTCCTCACTCCAGTCTCCCTTGCAGCCTCTTCTTCACTACCCTACTTCCCAATGCAGCTTCCTCTGTACATTATGTCTCCATTCACTGCCTTCAATCCCCACATTCTTGCAGCCTTCTACTCTGTCCCCAAACAAACACACTTTCACCTCCCTCACCTCAGATCCGTGGCTGACAGAACTCTCGATTCTGGCAAGAAGACTAGCCAAGTAAAAGGAGCCTTCCTTCTGACCTCAGCAAAAGCTACTGCCAACTCCCAAACCCAGCCCTGACAAAAAGTGGCACCCAACTCCACATTCCAGATCCAGGCCAGGCAGAGTCTCCTCCAACAATTCCCTCTGTCAAAACTTAGCTTTCTAAGTTAGTTGCTCTTGCAGTCACAAGTGGAGACCCCCCTGTGTTTTTTGCCAGTAATCCAACAGCGAGTGTATCATCAACAATCAAAGGGAGAACCAGACTGCTCCTCAGCAGTTCCTTCCATTCTACTTACAGGAGCAACATTTCTCCAAGAAGCCAGCCTGACAGTACTTTTTCTGAGCAGCTTTGGACACTTTCTGGGGCAGATTCACATGCTGTCATTGTTTGTTTTGAGCATTGCCTTGCAGGCTGTCAGCCTTGAGGCTTGCACACCTAACGTATTATAGGGATAAGCCGGCTGGGAATAGGTGGTAAACTGGCTACTGCTCAATTTATATCATGACCCACCCAAAGAAAAACACAACTGGTGGAGGTAGATTAAATCTATTCTTCCACTAGATTGCTTTGATTGACAGGCCAACTGGTTTCACCTCTGTTTCAACAATTTCAATATTTATTTTTTGATTTGCCCCTAAAAGCTACTCATTATGAACACCTGGCTGAGCTTCAAAAGCTACAATTATCTCTGTAAGAGTTTCTATGTTCATATTTTGTTAGCTCAAAGAAGCTCTTCAATGTGTAGGGAAATGAAGAGAAGCTCTTTTTCAGTAATAGATTAACCTCTTGAGAAGATTTTAAAGCTTTGAGACTGCTATGAATCAGAATGTCTTCCACTGTCTGTACTATGAGTGCTTTATTAGGTTGAATGTTTGTTTTTTTTAATCTTTACATGGCCTCCAAGGTCTGAAAAAGACAAATATTGGACTTGAAATATTAACTGTTTCTCTTTACACATAACACTGTCAAATCTACTGAATTTCTGCAGCATTTTGCATCTTTATTCGAGCCCAGTACGATACACACTGTGCGTACATATTGATTGTTCTTCTTGTTGCTTGTGGGATCTCCTGCTATTAATAATACCTGTCACATTTGCTCTCATAATAGTCATTAAATCTCATAGTAATTAAAAGTCAAGTACTTTGAGATGCTTCCGAGACACAGGATCTGAAAGGAAAAACAGAACAAATGGAGCCCATTTGGCCCATCATGTGAATGCTGATTCTTTATAGGACAATGGAAAACACATCCACTGTGCTGTTCATGTACTCTGCTTCAAACTTTTATTAGTTTCCAATAAAATAACCAATGCTATCTTCTCCAAACACTCCTTCTAGCAAATAATTCAGTGCTCCAATATTAAAAACTTCCTTTTTATCTGCCCTGCTCAATAACTTAATGTCAATTTTAAACTCATGGCCCCTGATCACTGCCTCTCTAAAGCTCACTTTATCAAAGCTTTCAGAATTTTAACATCTTTATTCAATCTCCTCCTAGCTTCCTTTTTTATCAGTGAATATCGTAAAGCACCGTATTAATGCAAGTTGTTTACATCTGTTCTTAGTGAATGGCAAAACTACCAGCCTCAAAAATTAAAACAACTTAATTGGAGCTGCTGATTGCGATTGAGACCTGCACTGGAAGCATACAAATGGATGGGAGTTAGAAACATGATGTAGTATCTTTTTTTATACA